AGGCTGAGGGCTATTTAACGGCACCTCTAGATTTAACATACTTCTCAGAAAAGGGGCTTTCATGGTCTAGAAGTTACGGTGTTCTCCTCTCATTCAATAGCTCCTGGGACTGAATCCTGACAGGATGGAAAAATTTCTCCTTTCATCTCCTTTCCTGCTCTCTTATCATGTTTTGTCGTCTGCTTTTGTCTTCACTTTCTCCCCTCTTCCCCTTTTGCTCCTTTCTCTGGGCTCCTGACTCTTTCTGCTGTCTTTCTACTGATATTCCTTGGCTCCTTCATACTGCTGTCTTTCAGCCACACACCTGATCTTAGGGTAGTTAAGATCAAACACCTAGCCTTCTCGGATAAGGGGAAAAAAATTTTTGATGTCCCGTGTGCAAGTTGCACACATTAAGGATCTGTTGGTGGTCATGAAATTGATAAGAATAGTCTTCAGCCGCCACCACCCTGGCAAAATTCAAAATTTATTCCTACCAAACTGAATATGGGAGCGCCGTAAAACACTTACGAAAACAAAACGTCTTGGAAAGAGCAAAGCCAAGTAGGTGAAGAGCCTTAAAAACTGTCAAAACAACCCAAGTTCAGAAATGCACTATTGGGCGTTTGAATCAGAGTTATCCGCACCAACCATATGTCTCACTGTAAAAAGGAGTAAATGTATTGAATAAAGAAGCTGAAGCAAAGAGAGCCACTTCATATGTATTCAAAGTTTCAGGTTCACTGTGTCAAGAAACAGTGTACTGGAAGAAGCATGTGTAGCGTTTTAAACTTTTGCGGGAAGTAAGCCTAAGATCCTTTGCATGGAAGGATATTTTAGATTCACTTTGGGGGGGGGGGGGTGATAAGTAGCTACTTGTCCTGTGAAAGCTATTTTTTGTTATGGGTAATCCAACTAAAAAAACTAAGATCATAAGTAGCTTAGAGAAAAAAAAATATGGAGTCAACTTTGTTTTTGAGTTGAGGTACGTTTGAATTGTGTACCATTGATCTGTTATTTTATGTCAAGTAATGGTTATATCATAAAACTGCAGGGAAATTTTGTATTGATTTGCCCCTTTTCGAGGGAGCGTAAACCATGGATACAGAGTGTTTTTTGATGCCCCAGCAAGTGCCTACTCTGTCCATATTATGTTTATTACTGGTACAAAGTGCACACTGCCAGTCAATTTCATTTGATTCTGTCAATGCCATCCAGAGTTGATTAGGTCAAATTTGACAGAATTTGATTAAATTAAATTGTGACCTACAAAACTGTAGGTTTTGTCCATGTTGGGAGCAAGGGGAAGAAGATGTGTAGTATTACTATAGATGTTTAATGCCCCCTTTTACACAATTTGTATCATTTTGGACTCTACCTGTCAGGTTCAACCCAAGTTGAAAAGAATCCAATGTCGCAGCAGAAAAAAGTGCTCAACAACTACACCATAGATACTGCTAGTATGTGAAATGTTTCACTATCGCTTAAATTTTGAGTTTCTTAAATATTTTGCCACTATTGTTATACTATTAAAAAATACAGGCATTGTGTCTTTAGTTTGCTGATTTTTGTCAAAGGTTTAGTCTTCTTTTCATCAGGAGTTGTCGCTTTTGACCGAACTTCTGGTTTTTGGATGATACACAGTTCTCCAAAATTCCCCCCTGCTAGAAAGTTCAGCTATAACTGGACTGCACACGATAATGGCCAGACCGTGTTATGCATCTCTTTTCCCTTCAAGCAGCTTCAAAATATTGGTGAGGCTAGAAGTGTGTGTGTGTGCGTGCGTGTGTGTGTGTGTGTGTGTGT